ACCTTCTCCGACGGTTCTGTCGCTGTGGCTGAGACTGCTGCTGCAGCGCAGTTTCGTTCGGGGAAGGGCCGCCGCCCCAAGGCTGGGCGCGACGGAGGAGGTGGGGGTGCAGGAGGGGGTGGTGGTGGAGTCGGGTCGTCTGGTGCTGGAGCGGACGAGGGGACCCTGCCCAGTCCAGCTGAGGCGCCGCCTCCGCAGTCGCAACAGCAGCAGCCGCAGCAATTGCAGCAGTCGCAGCCTCCGCCGCAGCCGCAGCAGACGAGGCAGGCGAGTGTCCTCCCGCCCGTGTGGCCTGGCGCTGGAGCTGGTCGGGCGCGTGGTGGTGTGCCAAGTGGTGGTTCGGGAGGCGTGCGTTGTCAGTACCAGATCCAGACCGGTCCTCGCCGCGGCTTCGTTTGCGGTAAGATCGGTCATACCACTCTCCGCTGTTTTCGTCGCCTGGACGACCTATTTCGTCAGTGCTTCGGCCCGTCGCGAGACCTCCCGGACTGGCACAGTTTGCTTAGTCGTAGGATTCAGATTTTTGACATGGACATGGATGCCATTGTTTTTGCTCTGCATGTGATGTATGCTGATGACTCTCGTGCGCTTCCCCTGTCGTCTAGTGTAGGTGTGCCTAGCTTAGCCTCCCCTGCTGCGTCAGGCGTAGGATCCCCTGCTTTGTTTAGCCTTGGTGCTTCCGCCGTCGCCCCGTCGCCAGACGCCTCTGCTTCGCTTTCCTTCACCTTGGACTCTGGCGCTTCCCGGTGCTTCTTCCGCGACTCTACTACACTGACGCCGCTTCCTCTTCCTGCTGCCGTTTCTCTTGCTGACCCCTCCGGCGGTCCGGTAGTCGCCCGCAGTTCCACCACCCTTCCCTGTCCGGCGGTTCCTTCGGGCACTCTCACAGGTCTGCTTATCCCCTCGTTCTCCAGGAACCTAGTTGGTGTCGGCTGCCTCCAAGACCTTGGCGTCACCACTACGTTCCCTGGTCACGAGCGGTATGCTATCTGTGCCGAGGCCGCCACTGGTGCCCCCCTGTCCACGTTCCCCCGGGACCCGGTGTCCGGCCTGTTCACTCTGGACACCGTGACCCCCCCGGCTGGGGCGCCCCCTCAGGTGGCTGCGTCTACCCAGGTTGCTGCTGCCTGCTCCTGTCGTTCCCTCACTCACCCGACTCTCCTTTGGCACCACCGCCTAGCTCACCCTGCGCTCCCGCGTCTGCGTCACATGTCCCAGCACGGTCTCGTCCTTGGTCTCCCTGGTTCTCTCCCCGCTCTTCCCTCCTCCCCAGCCCCACCTTGCACGCCTTGCGTCGAGGGTCAGCTTCGCCGTGCCCCTCACTCCTCCTCGTTTCCCCCTACCGCCGCGCCGCTGCAGACCCTGCACATGGACGTCTGGGGCCCCGCCCACGTCCATGGGCCACGTCGAGAGCGCTACTTTCTTGTGCTTGTCGACGACTTCACTCGCTACACCTCGGTCTTTCCCCTGGAGCGGAAGGCCGACGTGCCTGACGCCCTCATCCCCTGGCTTGTCTCTGCCCGTGTCCACCGCGGTCTCCCTGTCTTTCGTCTCCACTCCGACCGTGGTGGCGAGTTTGCCTCAGGTGTCCTTGGTCGCTTTTGTCGTGCGGAGGGCATCACCCAGACGTTCACCCTACCGGACTCCCCACAGCAGAATGGGGTCGCTGAGCGACGCATCGGTTTGGTCATGGAGTTGGCTCGCACCTCCATGATCCATGCCGGTGCACCCCATTTTCTGTGGCCGTTCGCCGTTCGCTACGCCGCTCACCAGCTTCACCTGTGGCCGCACCCCCAGCAGCCGCAGGTTTCGCCGACCCGTCTTTGGACTGGGTCCCCTGGTGACGCGTCTGCGTTCCACGTCTGGGGCTGCCTTGCTCACGTCCGATCCTCCGGCACGGACAAGCTCACTGCCCGCACCCTTCCCTGCGTCTTCCTCGGTTTTCCCCTTGACGCGTCCGACTGGCACTTCTACCACCCGCCGTCTCACCGCTTCTTCCACTCTCGCGACGTCACCTTTGACGAGTCCGTCTCCTACTACCGTCGCTTCCCCCACCGCGGTCCCCCGGTTACCCCCCCCCTGTTCCTGGTCACTCCTTCCCTGGTAGTCCCTGCCCCTCCCTCTCCTCCTCCCCATCCTGCCCCCTCTGGTGTGTCCCACGTCACCCCTCTTCCGTCGGTGGTCCCGGTTGAGGAGTCTTCTGACTCTGGTGGTCCTGCGGCGCAGTCCTCGCCGGCCGCCCCTCCCCAGGCGTCCCCTCCCCCACCGCCTCTGCCGCCGCTGTCGCAGCTGTTGTCCCCTCCGCCGCCGCCGCCGTCGCAGCACCCATTCGTTGACTCTGGGGGTGCTGGCGTTGGAGTGCGTGCTAGTCCCGGTAGCCCTGGGGGTGGTACCGGTCCTCGAGGGGTTCGGGCCTTAGAGGTGTTCCCTCTGGGGGTGCTGGTGTGGAGTGTGCCGGTGGTAGCCGAGGAGTAGCTTGCGGTCCAGGTGTCGGCGTTGTGCCGCCGCAGCAGCAGTCCCCGCCGGTGTCAGCCCTTCGCCTGCTCGGCCTTCCGTCCCCTGACCCTGCGTCTGTTCCTTTCCGACCGTCTCCTCCTCTTCCCGTCTACGGCCCTGTGTTCCCTCCGCCGGACTCGTCCCCGGCTCGTCTTCCCCCTCGTTCCCCTCCTGTTTCCCCTCCCCTGTCTCCTGACCAGACTCCTCCGTCTCACGTCTGGTCTCACAGTCCCTCCCGTGCTCGTCCTGCCTCCCCTGCCTTGCGCTCCCACCCTATGTTGCTTCGTTCCCACGCGTCTCGTCCTCCCCTTCTCCCGTCGCCTCCTCCGTCCTCTCTTGTTGTTGCAACCCCCCCCGTTGTCTGACTACTTTCGTGCCGCTCGTCCTCTTGTTCCTCGGGTCCTTGCCTCTCTCGTTACCGACCCGTCTGTTCCGGTCTCGTGCCTGGACACTCTTGTAGCTGCGGTCGCTGACTTTGCCTCTACCCGCCGCCTTGACTACGCCACCGCTCTGGTCTCTGACCCTGCCTGTCCTCCGTCTGTCGGGGGTGCTCCTGCCCTCAGCAGTGACGTCCTGGAGGACCGCCACTTCGAGCTTGCTTTCCTGTCCGAGGCTGCTCCCCATCTCTGTTCCATGCTGCTAGTCCCTGAGGGTGACCCAGACGCTTTCGACATCCCGACCCCTCGCACTTACGCTGCGGCGACCTCGGGACCTTGGGCCTCTCAGTGGATAGCTGCCATGGAGCAGGAGATGGCATCTTGGAGATCCACCGGCACCTTCGTCGACGCAGTTCCCCCGCCTGGGGTGAACGTAGTCGATGGCCGCTGGCTCTTCAAGGTGAAGCGCCCTCCTGGAGAGCCGCCTGTGTTCAAGGCGTGCTACGTGGCTAGAGGCTTCAGTCAGCGTGAGGGGGTGGACTTCTTCCAGACCTTCGCACCGACCCCGAAGATGACTACTCTTCGGATTCTGTTACACCTACCTGCTCAGCGTGACTACGAGCTTCACTCCCTCGACTTCTCCACTGCCTTCCTTCAGGGCAGCCTATACGAGCAGGTCTACCTGCGTCGCCCTCAGGGCTTTACTGGCACCTTCCCTCCTGGGACCCAGTGGCTCCTGCGGCGCCCCGTCTACGGTCTGCGCCAGGCTCCCCGTGAGTGGCACGACACGCTGCGTGCTACCCTTGCTGACCTGCAATTCTTTCCGTCTTCCGCGGACCCCTCACTCTTCGTTCGTGCTGGCCAGACTCCGTTCTACATCCTTGTTTACGTCGATGACCTGGTCTTTGCCACCGCAGACAGGGACGCACTGGCCTCCGTGAAGGCAGAGCTGCTGAAGAGACACACGTGCACTGACCTTGGAGAACTGCGCCGTTACCTTGGCTTGCAGATCTCCAGGGACAGAGCATCGCGCACCATCACCCTGACTCAGTCACACTTGGTGCGCCAGGTCCTTCAGAGGTTCAGCCTTCAGTTCTCCTCTGCACAGCCCACCCCTCTGCCTGTAGACCACAGACTCTCCGCTCCAGTTTCTGAGGAGTCGGTAGAGGCCAGCGGCCCCTACGCAGAGCTGGTGGGTTGCCTCATGTACCTGATGACTTTCACTCGCCCAGATCTCGCATACCCTCTCAGTATTCTGGCTCGCTTTGTGGCCACTGGTAGACACCGACCGCAGCACTAGTCTGCCGCTAAGAGGGTTTTGCGTTATCTTGCTAGTACATCAGGCATGGGGTTAGCGCTAGGAGGACGTGGGCCAGTGGTCCTTATTGGACACACAGACGCTTCTTGGGCAGACGACGCCGAGACACTCAGGTCTACCCAGGGCTACTGCTTCAGCCTTGGTTCAGGTGCTGTCTCGTGGAGAGCTACCCGCTCCTCGTCTGTTGCCCAGTCCAGCTGTGAGGCCGAGATCTACGCTGGTGCCATGGCGGCACAGGAGCTCCGCTGGCTGACCTTCTTGCTCACTGACTTAGGTTAGCAGCCTAGCTCTGCCCCGGTCCTGTTCGCTGACAACAGGGCCATGATCCTCCTGTGTCAGGAGCCTCGACTCGAGGGCAGAGCGAAGCATATTCAGCTGCGGCACTTCCTCCTGCGCGAGCTACAGCAGCGACGCCAGGCTCGCGTAGTACACCTGGCCTCAGGTGCCAACACAGCTGATATCTTTACGAAGGCGCTTGCGCCTAAAGATTATCAGCGGCACTGTGTACAGCTTGGTCTAGTTCCTGTAGCCTCACTTGCTAGGGCCTTGACTTTGTACTGTCCTTTATATGTGTACTCAGACAGGACTTGTGTCCTCTCCCAGTGGTTGGACTAGTGGTGCCGCCCTGGTCTTGTTCTTGCCTTGTCTGTACTCATTCTGACTAGTCTTTTAGACCCTTGTCTCAGAGGCTGGACTAGTAGTGCCGCCCTAAGCTGCTTGTTCAGGACATGCCCCTATGCAGTCTAGGGGGTGTGTCAAACATGTGTATCTCCTATGTTTGCATAGACTGTATAGGGCCATCTCTTAGAGGGTACAACACTTAGGTATATTCACCTGTACTCTCTCCCTACTCAATCATTCAGTTATCATTCTAACATTGTGTGCACTGCACACTATCCTATTACTGTAGCACAGAAATTTAGCACAAGCTACGGTAATACCTACACCCTTCGTTCTCAGCATTTGTGTGCCTGCTCCTAAGCATTTGATCAAGCTCCTAGAGCTCCCGTGTGCAATTCGTCTGCATTGGCGCATCGGCCTTGCTCAGCCCTCTCCGAAAGCCCCCCACCCGCCTCCCTAGGCAGCAGCAGGGCGCCACATGGTCTTCTGGAAGCTGATGACGGAGCTGCTGGGGCGGCGGAACACCTTCTTGACCTCCCAGTGCAGCTGCTTGGCGATGGCCTCGATGCGCGGCAGGTGCGGCGCCGTGTCCCGGATAATCAGGTACCCCATGGGGCGCACAATGCGGTCCATCTCCAGCATCACCAACTCCACGTCGCACCTGGGAGGGCGGGATGGGAAGATGGGGGTTAGAGGGAGAGCGTTGGAGGGAGAGTAGGTTGCGGAGGGGGATGACGAGGGTCGGATGATGCGGTGCCCCATGGAGCGCACAAAACGGTCCATCTCCACCATGAGGGAGAGCCAGAAGAGAGAACGGGAAAGCGGGAAGGCGGCAGAGAGAGAAGGGGGGAGAGGGAAAAGGGGGCAGAGGGAGGTCACATTCCACCCAGCACAATACACCCCACAACCTCACAAACTCACAACCCCCCAAACCCCCCAGCCCCCGCACCTGTTGCCGTCCATGATCTTCCCGAGCAGCCGGTCCGAGTGCAGCAGGTCGTAGGTGCGCGGGTACGTGTTGAAGGCCTCGCACCAGTCGTGGTACGCGCCCAGCAGCCCCCGCTCAAACACGATGGGCAGCGTGTCCATGGCTGCGTCCGCCTCGCTGGTGTTGCGCGCCGGCACCACGTTCATCGACCACAGCGGCTTGTCCGAGATGCCCGCGCCGAACCTGCCGAGGGGGGAGGGGAGGGGAGGGGGTGGTAGATGGGGTGGTGGATGGGCGTGGACGGGGGTGGAGGATGAGGAGTTGGAGGATGTTTGGTTCTTCCATGGCTTACTTGACGACAACCGCATCAGCACACCCTGCGACCATCTCATACATGGTCTCTTGGGCGTCCCCTTTCCACTCACTCGCCGTACTGCGAGTCTGTCAACACAGTGCCACACACAGCCCCCACTCACCTGCGCACAGCGCCATACACTCCCCTCGCCGGCCCCGATTTCCACTCACCCGCCGTAGTGCGCGTCCATGTCCATCACGTTGCGCACAGTCGTCCAGTCCATGTTGAGGTGCCGCGAGTACCGCTTCGCCTCACGATCCCAGAACTCGGTGTCCGCGTCAAAGTCCGCAGGGCCCGCCTTCCCGAACAGGCCACGCACCACACCCGCCATGCGCGCCGGCGCTGTCACCAGCCGGTTGCGCCCCTCCGCTGGCCACGCCACCGCGCCCGGGATAGCGGGCACGCGGTGCAGACACGCCTCCATGGGCTCGTACCTGGGGAAGTGGGGGGGATGGGAAAGGGGGGGAAATGGGTGGAGGATTGGACTGTGGTGAGGTGCATGGGAGAGCGCAGCGCCTTGGGTGTGAGCCTTGAGGGCGGGAGCGTGTGGGCTTGTGACCAGGGTGTAGGGTCGGAAAGGGGAGGGGGGAGCAATGAGGGGAGGCACGCGGTTGTCACATGAGCAAAACACAGCACAGCCACAGCACAGCCACAGCACAGCCACAGCACAGCCACAGTGCAGCCACAGCGCAGCCACGGCACAGCCACAACACAGCCACAGCGCAGCCACAGCACAGCCACAGCACAGCGCGTTGCCTCACCATGCGGCGTCGGCCTGGTTGTCCTCGGGGCACATGGGCGGGATGGTCTTCCTTGGGCGCGCCTCGTAGCACGCGTTGTCCGTGGGCTTCTGCCACACCGCCACGCCAATGCCGAACTCGCGGTGCACCTTCTTCGCCAGCCGCTTCCAGCACATGTTCTTTGTCAGCTTGCGCATCGCTGGGGGGGGGGGGGGGGGGGGGGGAAGGGGAGGGGGAAAAAGGGGAGGGGGGAAGGGGAGGGGGAGAGTGTCAGGCACAACATTCTCGTGAGGGCAGCCGCCAGAACCTTCTTTGCGAGCCGCTTCCAGAACATTTTCTTCGCCTGCTTGCAAAACGCAGGGGGTGGGGGAAAAGGGGGGGGGGTGGGGGAAAAGGGGGGGGGTGGAGAAGGGGGGAACGGGTGAAGGAGAGTAGGAAGGGGGAGTGGGAGAGGGGAATGGGGGAAAGGGGAAAAGGGCGGGAGGCGAAAAGGGGGTAGCCTCAGGCAGCAGAGCGAGGGGACAATGCTTCCTCAAGGACTGGCTCTTTCTCCTCTCACTTGCAATCTCGCCCTATGGGGCTCGTTTCTTGCCTCCGCAGCCCACCTGTAATCCATCTACGACTCTCACAACGGCCACTACCTCTCTCTCGTCCCACCCAACCGCGTCACTCCCAAGAGCGCCACTCACCACTCCATATCTCCTTGTCATCGGGCTCCTTCGCGGAGCAGTGCAGGCACAGGGGCGTGGCCGACCAGATGAAGTACCCGCCGGGCCGGATGAGCCGATTCAGCTCCAGCAGCAGCTTCCCGCCCTCGATGTGCCACGGCACGCGGCACCGCGCGCAGTGCACGGCGTCGAACGAGTTCGCGGGGTACGGCTGGCGCTGGGTGCCCATGACGCCCACGAGCGCGCTGACGCCGCGCTCGAGTGCGAACTGGATCTGCGCGTCGTGCTCGTCCTTGGGCGCCACCGACATCACGCGCACGTCAAACGCGTCCAGGTACGCGCCGAAGCTCGCCACGCCGCACCCCATGTCCAGCACCACGCGCACGTGCTTGCCCCACGCGAGCTCCGGGCACACCTGCGGGACGATGGGTAGCGGGGAGATAAGAGAGGGGAGATCGGTAGGGAGATCCTTTGTGCTTAAACCGAGTTACGGTTATCTGCTGCTGTTCGTACGATTACTCCGCATGTCCCCTCGCTACGCGTTCGTACGCGCCGCCCAAAGCAGCCGCGTGCAGACGCAGCTTCCGACGGGCTTCCGTCGCCTGTCTATCCCGTGTAACTACCCTTCCCACCCACTCGTCACTCCCCTTCCTCCACGTGGCGCCGCACTTGAACTAACCTGCATTCCCGTGTAACTACCATTTCCACCCATCCCACCCACGCGTCCCTCCCCTCCCTCCCCGACCCGCGGTCAGCGCAAGCGCGACTCCAGCCGCAGCACTCACGTCGTGCACCCATTCGATGTAGCGCGTGGCGCCATACTTGAACTGCGTGCCGCCGCCCGGGAAGAGAAACTTGTCGCCGTCCGCTTTCACCCAGTTCTGGTCCGCCTTGTAGTTCGCCAGCGACGGCTTCGGCACGTTGCTGTACCAGATCTGATGCGCGCGGATGCGAGAGGGGGATGCGAAGAGGGTTGCCCGGACCGGGGGAAAGGGGAGGGGCAGGGGAGAGGGGGTTGGGGATTGGGGGAGGGATGGCGGGGAAAATAGGTGGTTAGCGGGACAGGATAAGGAGGAGGACGACTGGAGAGGCGGAGAGTGGTGAGGCGGAAGGGGTCCAGGCGGTGGCGGAAACGCGAAAGAAGTGGCGGACTGGCGTCGAGGCTCGTATGGACCGCGCAACAACAACACAACATATGGCACATGACCCGAGTCACTCGCCCGTCTCCCCCCCCCCCTTCACGCCACACAAGCCACGAGTTACGCTACATCCCCGCCTCACCTGGTCGCGGTCCTCGGACCACGTGATGCGCGACTTGTACCCGCGGGTCCCAGGCGGTGGCGGAAGCGGGAAACAAGAGGCGGACTGTTGAGAGAAGGAACGTGTTCGACACGCGTCGAAGCTCACCTGGTCGCGTCGAAGCTCACCTGGTCGCGGCTCTCGGGCCACGTGATGTGCGGCTTGTATCCGTCGGGCAGCGGCAGCACGCAGCGCGGCACCTCCGCCACAGCGGGGCAGTGCCGCTCGCGGTGCTCGTAGTGGTTAGTGCTCTTGAGCTGCCGGAGCGCCTTCTCGTTGTCCAGGCACGGGATGTGGTCATCGCTCTGCTCCACGCACAGCGGGTATGGCGCCACGGACGTCGGCCGCGACGCGGGAGCCTCCTCCTCCTTCTCCTCCTTCTCGTCCTTTTCGTCCTTATCGCTCTCCCGCGCCTCCTCCTTCTCCACCTTGCTCCCCGCACCTGCCTCGGGGGTCTCGCCCTTCACGTCGCTGTCATCGGCGGAGCTGCTTTCCTGCGAGGCACGCGGGGACGCGGGTACGCGGGTACGCGGGTACGCGGGTACGCGGGTACGCGGGTACGCGGGTACGCGGGTACGCGGGTACGCGGGTACGCGGGCACGCGGGTACGCGGGTACGCGGGGACGCGGGTACGCGGGGACGCGGGTACGCGGGGACGCGGGTACGCGGGGGTTGCGGAGGATACGGGAGATGCGGTAGATGAGGGGAAACGCGGGGGATGCGGAGGTTGTTTCTACTAGCGAGCGCGAGGTGGCCGCTTGGACAGCTACCAAAGCAAGTCTAACGCCTCTTTCACACAGCGTTCATTCCACGTTAGCTGATGCGCCTGGGTGCGTACACACCGCGTACCTGAAGCGTACAGCGTACAAGTACAGCGTACGAGTAAAGGTAGAACATACACCACAGCGTACCTCGGTCTCGGTCTCCGTGTGCGCCTGCTCCACCTTCGACTCCGCCGCCTGGCTCGGCAGCAGCGATTCCGCCTGTGGGGAAGACGGGGCCACAGAAATGACAATTTAAGCTCCACGCAGCACGCGTCGAGCAGATTGCTTTCCGCCCAGTACGCGTGAAAAAAAGACGCGAGAAGACAACTCGGCGCGCAGCAGGCGGCGAGGATGCGATCTGTGCGACGGACGACCCGTTGCCGGAATCGCCTTGCCTGTCTCACCTTGCTGTCGTCAGCAGGACCCTCCTTGCGGCTGGCCTTGCGCTCCACGTCAGCATCGCCGTCCGCAGCGCTAGTACCGCCCAGCTCTTTAATCCGCTCCTCCACTTGCTGCAGTTCCGCCGCCACCTTCGCCTGTTCGCGCGCCTCCTCGGCCTTCTCTCCCTCGTATTGCGCCGCCTGCCGCTCCCGCGCGTTTTCCGCCGCCACCTCCCGCCGTTCCTCCACCACCACCGCCGTGTATACCGCGTCGTCAGCTATGCGCAGTCCGCTCGCTGGAGATTTGCTCTGGAGAGACGAGAGTGGTCGGTGACGGGAACGTGCGGAAGAGGAGAGAGGCGGGGTGGGGGGCGGACGGGGACAGGAAGTGTTGAAGAGCACGCGAATGTATATAAATGCAGCACATCGAGCCTGAAAAGCGCAGCTTACGCCGTCTCACCGATCGTTAGGACAAGCACAAGGCACATGGACACGGACGGCCTGCTCGAGCGAAGACTGCAGGTACAGGACGCGAAAAAGTGCTTGGAAGACCAGAAAATACTTCTTTCCAATTCTTAAAAGACGGAGACGAGGTGAAAGAGGAAAAGGGGCTTGGAAGACGGAGAACGACGTACCGGCGAGGTGAAGAGCCACATGGAGACGAGGAAGACGAGGACGAACGCGAGGCTCGTGGCGAGAGTAGAGTTGCCCCCAGGCGACGTGTACGGTGACTTGCCCTTCCATGAGTACGTTGCGCCGCGAAGGACTTTGAGCAGCGTCTGTTGCAAACCCATCCTGCGAACCGAGAAGATCCCAGGGAAAGGGACGCTAAGGAGCACACGGTGACGCGAATTCGCCTCTGGAGTTGTGGCTGGAGACCGCTGCCACAGGAAAACGCAGGATCAGCAGATCCCCCCAACTCAAATTCACAAGAGACTGGACTCTCAACCGGAGATAACTGGAGTGGGCGAGATGTTGGTTCGGCTCGGGTGGAGCTCTGTCTGTCCCTCAGGTGAGGCGCGGCGAGGCTAGGCGAGGAGCGAAAGCTGCGGGCACCGCAATGACTGGGCTATGGCATGGCAAGGTTTGGGCTGGTTTGGAGATGAGGCCAAACCTTTGGCGAATCCCGGACCGGTTTCCGAGCCAAACCAGACCAGATCACTGCTGGTGACCATGTCGCGGGAACGACCTTGATGGAGTGTCAAGCCAGAACAAACCTAAATGCCATGGCCTCCGAGCCTGAAACAACCATGCCTAGCCCGAGAGACAAGCCGCGAGTGTCAAAACCACATTCAAGTCGAGCGCGACTCGCTCAGATCTGACCATACCAGACAGCCCCGTCATTAGACTCGGCTCCAAAAACTCTTCCGCAAGAGGCTCCAGGGGTTCTCGCGCCAAACCCTGTCAGGCCAAAAGGGGCACCTCATTGGAGAACAAACAGACCGCGCTATGAATCAGACACAGCTTGTGTAGACAACACTCCCTCATCAATATATGAAACCCCGTTACGGACTACCATGGCAGACTAGTTTTAGGACTACCATGCGTACAAGCAGATGCCTATGACAAACAAATCAGCCGGGTAACAAACCTTGTCTGGTTGCTTGGAATGGATTGTTCGCTTGCTTACTTACACCAATCATTCACTATATCTCCATTCATCCCTATGCCATGGTATAACATCTAACTATTTGTCATTCTTACGATAATGAACTACTTTATATATTCCTGAAAGTAACACTCAAGCAGTAACTCTTATAGAGTCCGCGCTTGTTTCGAATCACGAAGTGCAACGTTCGTTGTTTTGTTAGAAACTAGAATAAGCAATCAAGACAAGAGAGAACCAGTGAGATATAGTGTTTCGGTTGTACCCCCTAAGAACATACCTTATCTAGCCTATAACTTCTACGTAACAATACATGAATAAATTGATACACCCCCTAGGCTATATAAGGGGTAGTGCTGAGCAAGAAAACACGCAGCTCAGGGTGGCACTACTAGTCCAACCTCTGGGGCATGGGCCCGAAAACCGGTCAGAAAGGGTACAAGCAGGACAAGAGCAAACCAAGGCGACACTACTAGTCCGACCATTGGAAGAAAAGCCACAAGGCCAGTCTGGAAGGCATAAATATAAAGGAGTACACAATCAAGGTCCTAGTAAGTGAGAGTCAACAGGGACTAGACCTAACTGCAAACAGTGCCGCTGATGATCTTTAGGCGGAAACGCTTTAGTAAAGATATCAGCTGTGTTGATACCGGAGGCCAAGTGTACTACGCGGGCCTGGCGACACTACTGTAGCTCGCGCATGAGGAAGTACCGCAGCTGGATGTGCTTTGCTCTGCCCTCAAGTCGAGGCTCCTGACACAGGAGGATCATGGCTCTGTCGTTAGCGTACAGAACCGGGGCAGAGCTAGGCCGCTCACCTAAGTCGGCGAGCAAGAAAGTCAGCCGGCGGAGCTATTGTGCCGCCATGGCACCGGCGTAGATCTCAGCCTCGCAGCTACACTGAGCAACAGACGAAGAGCGAGTGGACCTCCACGGGATGGCACCAGCACCAAGGCTGAAGCAGTAGCCCTGGGAGGACCTGAAGGTCTCAGCGTCGTCTGCCCAAGAAGCGTCTGTGTACCCAGTAAGGACCACTGGCCTGCGTCTTCCTAGCACTAGCCCCATGCTCGATGTACTCGCAAGACAACGCACAACCCTCTTAGCGGCCGACCAGTGCTGTGGTCGGTGTCTGCCTGTGGCCGCAAAGCGGGTCAGGATGCCAAGAGGGTATGCAAGATCTGGACGAGTGCAAGTCATCAGGTACATGAGGCAACCCACCAGCTCAGCATAAGGACCACTGGGCTATGCTGACTCCTCGAGAACTGGAGCTGAGAGCCTGTGGTCTACCGGCAGAGGTGTGGGCTGTGCGGAGGAGAACTGAAGACCGAACCTCTGAAGGACCTGGCGCACCAAGTGTGACTGTGTAAGAGTGACGGTGCATGCTACTCTGTCCCTGGAGATCTGCAGGCCAAGGTAGCGGCGCAACTCTCCCAGGTTCCCGAGGTAGCCTCGGCGTAGGTGCGAGGGGTCGGGATGTCGAAAGAGTCTGGGTTACCCTCAGGGACTAGCAGCATGGAGCAGAGATGGGGAGCAGCCTCTGACAGGAAAGCAAGCTCGTACTGCCGGTCCTCCAAGACGTCACCACCGAGGGCAGGAGCATCCCCGACGAACCGAGGACAGACAGGGTCAGAGACTAGAGTGGTAACGAAGTCAAGGCGGCGAGTGGAGGCAAAGTCAGTAACAGTAGCGACAAGAGCGTCAAGACTGGAGACAGGAACAGACGGGTGGGTAACGAGGGAGGCAAGGACCCGAGGAACAAGAGGACGAGTAGCACGAAGGTAGTCAGACAGAGGGGGATGCGCGACAGTGAGCGACGACGGAGGAGGCGAAGGCAAAAGGGGAGGACGAGATGCGTGGGAATGAAGCAACATAGGGTGAGAATGCTGAACAGGAGAGACATGACGAGCACGAAAGGGACGGTGAGACCAGACGTGAGACGGAGGCGTCGGGTCAGGAGACAGAGGAGAGAGTTACAGCAGGGGAACGAGGGGGGAAACGAGCCGGGGATGAGTCCGACGGAGGAAACACATGACCGTCAACAGAAAGAGGAGGAGACGTCCGTGGAGGCGCAGGCGAGCGGTCAGGGGAGGGAAGGCCGAGCAGGCGAAGGGCGGACATCGGCGGCGACAGCTGCTGCTGCTGCTCGACGCCGACACTTGGACCACCAGCTGCACCACTGCTATCTCCGGGACACTCCATGCCAGCACCCCCAGAATGAGAACCCTCTCTAGCGCCGGTGCCACCCCCTAGCTTGCAGGGACAAGCCACGACAGGAGCCCCAGGACTAGTACCCTCCTCAACTCCAGCACCCCCAGAGTCCACGAACGGTTGCGGCTGCAGCAATGGCTGTGGCTGCTGCGGCGGCGGCGGCGGCGACTGCGACGAGGGAGGAGGAGAGACCGAGGGAGGGACATGCGGCGCAAATGGCGCCGCGGGGCCACTAGAGTCAGCCGACTCCTCGACTGGGGCAACCGACGGGAGGTGAGTGACGTGGGAAACACCAGATGGAGTAGGATGGGGAGGGAGGGGAGCAGGGGAGATCGGGGAAGTGGGAACCAGGAACAGAGGAGGGGAAACCGGGAGACCTGGGAGAGGAAAGCGGTGGTAAAAGGAGACAAACTCGTCGAAAGTGGCGTCACGGGAGTGAAAGAAGCGGTGAGACAGCGGGTGATAGAAGTGCCAATCAGACGAGTCAAGGGGGAAACCGAGGAAGACACAGGGGACAGTGCGGGCAGTGAGCTTGTCCGTACCGGAGGCAGGAACGTGAGCGATGCAACCCCAGACGTTGAACGCAGACACGTCACTAGCAAACCCGGTCCAAAGAAGGGTCGGCAAAACCTGCGGCCGCAGGGAGCGCGGCCAGAGGTTAAGCTGGTGAGCAGCGTAGCGAACAGCGAACGGCCATAGAAACTAGGGTGCACCGGCATGGATTATGGATGTATGAGCCACCTCCGTGACCAAACCGATGCATGGCTCAGCGACCCCATTCTGCTGCGGGGAGTCCGGTAGGGTGTACGTTTGGGTGATGCCCTCCGCACGACAGAACTGACCCAGCCGACCAGAGGCGAACTCGCCGCCACGGTTGGAGTGGAGACACAGCACAGGGAGATCGCGGTGGAGGCACGCAACGACGAGCCACGGGATAAGAACGTCGGGCACGTCGGCCTTCCGCTCCAGAGGAAACACCGTGGTGTAGCGCGGGAAGTCGTCAACGAGCACAAGAGAGTAGCGTTCGCGACGCGGTCCAGGGACGGGGGCTGGGCCCCAGACGTCCAAGTGCAGGGTCTGGAGGGGTGCAGTGGCAGGGCAAAGCGAGGTGGAGTGACGAGCACAGCGCAGCCGGCCCTCAACGCGGGGCGTGCACGGCGCCTCAAGCGAGGGAGGGAGAGCAGGGAGCAGCGCAGGGAGGCCTAGGACGAGACGGTGCTCAGACATGTGACGCAGATGCGGGAGCGCCCGCCGAAGGGGGAGTAGTATCCAGCGTAAACAGGCCAGACATAGGGTCCCGGGGGAATGTCGCAAGTGGGGCACCCGAGGCGGTCTTGGTACAGACCGCGTACCGCTCGTGACCAGGGAACGTAGTGGTGACGCCGAGGTCCTGAAGACAGCCGACATGAACTAGGTTCCTCTCCCCTTGAATCTGTCTGGTTCGAAAGACCCACTTGCCCGAAACAATTTTATGGCCGCATGCTGCTTCGCGTGGAACGAGTTTCCATTATTTCCGCTTCTCGAGAGCTGCTACCTCTGCATCCATAGCTGCTCGCCACTTGTCAGCATTAGAGCCGGAGAGGGCCTGCTTGACTGTTTCCGGCTCGATCCCAGCCGTTGGTTGCTGAACCACGACAGCAAGGCCTAGGATCTGAAGAGCCGATTGGTCGCCATGAGGACAAGGTTGGCAAACTTTGACAACGCCATCATCGTCAATTTCAGATGGCAAATGGCACTCACCGTCATGTGATGCTGCGTCTGTTTTCTGTCGGCACAGGTGCTCCCCATAATTATAGGCAGCCTTTGTCGTGGTAGGATGCAACGGGCCCGAGATTGGAATGAAGAGCAGAGTGTCTGTGGCGTTGGCATGTGTCGAAGGAATATGATTTGAATAGTGCTGCATTACGGGAGGAAGGACCAGGTGCAGCTGCTGACGTAGAAGGTTGCAGAGTTGTAGAAGGTCCTGCTGCTGCGCTGTCGGGCAATAATATTCTTCAACTGCATTTGCTTCTTCTTGAGGGGTGGCCGAACTCCGTTCGGCACTATAGCAATCGGGATCCTGCTGCTGGCATTCCTTGTCGCATTTGAAGTTGTCGAGAAAACGTTTCT